TTGGGCTATTTCTTGCCCTTTCTTCGTCCAAATTTCTTGTTCTTTCCAGTGTCCCCTGGCCTGCCCTTACGGGCACGCTCAAGGGGTTGGAGCTCTACAGTTTTGGACCGTGTATATTGGCGTCTATAAGCCTGTGCTTGGGAATTGGTCTGTAGTCTTAGCTCAGCAAGAGTGGCTAACCCTTCATTAATGTACACCCGTGCCGTCTTCGCGGCCTGCCACCTACCAAGTAAAAGGAGGCGGTCTAGCGACCCATATCTGGAAAAGTAACACGTGGCGCCCCCCCCGTCTCAGACTGTAAGGGCGGAATTGGTGATCACTAAGGCCACATGCTTCTAAGCAGGCCGCAAATTTCTTGCGCCAGGTGTGAGGTGGTTCGCATAATGTGCTTCGTGAATGGGGTGCATTCTTCCATTGCCACAATCTACGCAGAATATCTTCCTCTCGGATGGTGATGCTTTCAGCTGCTCCCTGTCTCTTTCCTCCCTTAGTCAGACCAAGGGAGAGGACCGCCACACTGCGAGGTCCAGATTGTTGACAGTGAGCTTTCTGCACCCCTAACAACTCCCCTGTTCGTAGGAGTCCATGGAAACCGAGTAGCAGCGAGAGGGCAAAGAGGTCATCATTTTGGAACAGGCTTTGACCTACCATCATCTCCAGAGCTTCCAGGGGAAGAGGCGGCGCTCTATTCGGGATTTCGTTGGTCGCCCAGGTCTTCATCAACCTCCAAGACGCCGCCAGCTTGCCCTTAACAGCCGGGAGGTAGTCCTGTACCGAGGCAATGGTGTCAGCGGCCAGGGCCCTGCCTTCTCCACTCTCCCATAGGACCTCTATGTACTGACTAAGCCAATGGTCGAGCGGACCTGGGTCACGAGGAAACAACCTGCTCTCCTCCTTCAAGAACTGGCGAAAGCGCTCCAGAGCTCGGTCATAACGTTCACGAGTGGCGGGCTGGACTGTAAGATTCCTCAATGGGCCTAAAACTCGTCGCTGCTGTTGTCGCGTTGCTTTGTCCCTGCCCTCAAGATGGGCAGCTTTTCGACCTACCATTTCTTACGAACTGGCCTCCGAGAAGGCCGATCCGCGGGGTTGTCCCCCGTGTGGACATACGCCCACACGGCGTGGGATCCACTGGCCAGGAGCAAAGCGTTCACGCGACTCATAGTACGACGAAGTTTCCGGCTGCTGCTTCGGCCACGAGACAGCGAGCGCAGGCACACCAAACTATCGATCATATGCACGAATTTCGATCGAATAGCACGCCTCTTGACTATGCGCCATCTCAACGAAGTAAGCACTGCCCGCAATTCAAGAACGTTGATATGTTCTGCACTTCCACGCCAGTGCCAGCCCATGATAGTCTTCCAGGTCCAGAGAGAAGCCGGCAGGCTCGCTCGCAGGCGATGGTAACGAAGAGTCTCCTCCGTCGAAGCTTGGACCATGATATCTTCCCCTTTTGGGCTGACAAGGTTTAGGAGTTTGGCCACCAATGTGCCCTCCCCTTGACTATTGGCCTTGAGCATCTTCTTCATGGATTGGCGCTGTAGTAACCCGCTCAAAGTTGTCGATGACCCCGGGGAGGTAGCTTGCACTGCCTGTTGTGGAGTAAGGAGCGGACAAAGACCGAGTTGGTGACCTAGTTGGCCGAGGAGCCATGCTACTACCGTGACATTCCATGAATTCCCAATGAGGCTGTAGCGTTCGTCCTCGTGCTTGGTCTGACCATGGAACTGCTTGGACATGCACTGGACAGTGTAGTCCTTTGGAAACCCCATGATCACCTCTCGTTCACGAATGCTAGGGAGCCGGTGATGCCCGTTGGAGTCGACGATGCCCAGCATCTTTTGGTATTGATAAGGTGGGAAGCGAAAAGAGTCTTCCTCCCAGGCATGGCGCTCCTCCTCCGACAATCGCTCTAAGCCTGCTGGTCTTCGGCCTGGATGGCTCCGTGGTCTGGCCGTTGTGAAGGTTGGGAACGGCTCGGAGCTGGCCTTCGCACTGCCGGGCTGAAGATAGATCTTCGGGTCGACGTGGGCCGAAATTTCCACCTCACGAAAAGCTGCCAGTCCACTCTTTGTCCAGGGCCTGATGTGCACACACTCCCCTCCTAGGAGTTCCCAATCACACCAGTACAACCGTGGTCTTCTTGCCAAAGATACGCCCGCTGCCTCAATCATCACCGGATGGTCTCCAAAGTCCTCCGTCATGATGGCTCTGTCCGTGTCGTCCATGGAGGCTACACTCTCGGCCAGATACCTAACCTGGGCCCATGTGAAGTGCTTCCGGAGAAGCTCCCGGATCCGTCTGACGTGGCTGAACAAGCAGCTCCGGTGATCTTTCAATGCCCCTCTTCGCTCACTGTTTAGCCGCCTGGCCGAAACCTGTCAAGCCTGTACTTACCGTCAGACCTCCCCCCGTCGTAGAGGCATCACTGGCGGTCACTTCGGGACTAATGTTCAACCGGAAGTCCATCTGTGCAAGAGGAATCAGGCATACAAAGCGAGCCACCTCTAGTTTGACCTCTGTCGGGATGTCCAGCTGAATCACAGGCGGATAGCCCTTGAAGGACTCGATGAATTTCCACACGGCATTGAGTGACCCAAGCATTGGTCGGCGGAACATGCTCATGTAAACCAAGCCCCCTGCCACCACCTGGGCTTGCTTCAAGGAGCAGCGTTTCTCCCCCACAAGGAGACTAGCCAGCTGGGCATACTTCAGGATCTTGATGGGCTTGGGGTAGGCTCGTCCACCAATGCCATCCACAATTGCTCCTTGAACTTCCGCTTGGCTCTCCCGTACCACGGACTTCTTGGGATGTCGTGGACCACCCCACCTTTCATATTCGCTCCTCAGGGCTAGGACGCTTCCACTCAACTCCCCCTGTAGGAGTGCTGTGGTTCGCTTGTCTACCTTCTCCAGGAGGTCGAAATTGTCCAAGTAGACCCTATGCAGCTCGCTGTGTGAAGTGAAGGGACGATCTTTTCTAATTTCCTGTTGCGGTTGCAAGCACCCTCCTGTGATGTCACCAGCTCTTCGCACCATCACTCTGTGCACATGCTGTGCTAGGCTGACACTGTTTTTGAAACCCATGGGAAGGACTTGGGAGGCGAGATAATAGACTCCCTGGTCATCGGGACAAAGTTCAGGAGGGATTGCGCGGTTGAAGGCCAAGAAGGAAGACCACTCACGAGGTACTTTAAAAATATAAAAGAAACACCTCACATCTTCTGATGAAATCACCAGGTCTTCACTGGGCATCAACTGCAGGGGCGCCATCGTCGCCCAGCTGGGTAGCGTGGAGACGTCTCCTTCAATCCCCCTCACCACCTTGTTGCATGGTCTTAAATCCATGATTAGGCGGTGTATCTCGATTCCCTGCTCCTGTTCGCCCTTGGGAACTCCAAATAGGCCGTTGAGCAAGGGTTGACCATGCACATGAAAGATGTCCCGCTCTAACACCGGAATGCAAACACCATTGCCCAACAGTCCCCGACACACATCTGGCCAAGCCTCTGAGCTGATGAGCACACGCGGAGGCTTCATCGATTGCTGCATCTCCTCAGGCAGGACATACGACACGAAGTTTTCCACATAATGCTTGCACCCTAGCTCACAAACTTCAGACAGGGGGACCGAGGCAATCTCTTTGGGCATCGCAGGGGCCAAATTCTCCCAGCTGGTGTATTGCGCGCACAACACCTCTTCCCCGGTATAGTCCACCGTCTTCAGTTTGAAGAAA